CAATATATTGGACATGGATAGCGCCAATGAGGAACAACAGAAATTGCAAGCGCTCCCTACACTCACTAACAGTCAAATCCACATACAGGATGTTAAGACCTAGGATAAATCTGAGAGACGGGGTGGAGAACAGGTGAATGAAACAACTGAACGTGAGCAAGGAGGATTTGAGGAGAATCAAGTGGTCTAAGACCATCAAGATTAGACCAACAAAGATTGCTTCTCTACAATGGCAGATTGATCACTGCTGTCTGCCCACAAATGACTGGCTAATGGACAAAACATCTCTGGAAAAAAGAGGCCTTGCTCACCCTTGGTGCAAATTGTGTACCTCAGCATTCCCAAGCAGATGCATCCCAGAAACCATTGAGCACATATTCCTACAATGTCCAGGTGTTGTTTAGCTGTGGCGCTGGTGGGATAGGATTTGGTCTACCCTTATCACCCAACAGTCATGGCCATGGGACTGGAAAGCACTGCTATGTGAGACCTGGACCCCGGATCAGCTAGAGAATTTCTCTCAAAATCTTTTTAAAACAGGAAGAAGGGTCATAAATTGGGCCCTCTGGAATTGTCGCTGCCGTTTTGAAATGGAAGGAGCTAGGATTGATGGCCCAGAATTAACAGACGCAATCAAACTATAAGTGCAGACAAACATCACAATCCAATGGAACAAAATAAAGGAGAAAATTCAATTTTTATCATCCAGAAAAGAAATCCTACAGCACATCTATCAATTCAGTGGCGCTTGGCTAGGGGGGTCCCAAGGAGGAAAGATCGGACAAATTCGAGAAGGTGAGGGAAGGAGAGGAAACAAGAAAGGGCAAAATGAGGAACTTCCCAGAGACTTTTGGCTGGTGTTTCATGACTAGACCACTATAGATCCTTCTATCCCGTTGCGTCCCCCATTGGAATTCCCAGACCCATTCCCCCCCCCAGCTCTTTCACTGGTTCCCTTGAGTTGGTATGGGGATGATGGATAGGAAAATAGCTGACTGGGTTCTGTTCCTTCTCAATGGTTGTTTTAGGATGACTTCTTTGGATTGCTGCAGATGACTACAACTAAGTGCTTCTGCATATGGTCCTCGAAAAGCAAGTATTGAGGTCATCCTTTTTTTCCAATTTGGGTCATTCAGATTAGTGCTGGTTCCCTTGAGTTGGTATGGGGATGATGGATAGGATAATAGCTGACTGGGTTCTGTTCCTTCTCAATGGTTTTTTAAGGATGGTTTCTTTGGATTGCTGCAGGTGGCTACATCTAAGTGCTTCTGCATATGGTGTTCGTAAAGCAGGTATCACGGTCATCCTTTTCTTCCAAATTTGGTCATTCAGATTAGTACCAATACTGATTAGAGATATTCGGCGCCACTCAGATGAGGGTGAAGAGGTACAAGGGATGCTGGGGACTTTTCCCAGTAATCGTGATCAACAATTGCTCAGAATTATATATCAAGGGACGCTGGACCCGTTTTTCAGCAGGTGTCGCTCCCCACCAATAGATGGAGCCCTCAGTGAAACTGTTAGGAGTGTATGCTCTTATCATCACTCCTAACAGCAGTCATGGGGAATTTTATTTAAAAAAATAATTAAAAAAAAAAATCGTATCCGTGTGGAATTTTCTAAACAGTTTCTTGTCAAGTAATTAGTCCTAGTGCGGTTTTGCAAATTAAAAGGGGGGAGGCCGAATTAGAGGTAGGTGGAAAGTGGGGGGCTCACTTAGAAGAGGAACCGACGATTTAGAGTGGTAAGTCTAACTAGAAGGGTGGGGTGGAACAACATTGGTCAGTGCTAGAGCATTTGCTCTGTGACCAGGGGGAGCTTGAGGCCATTGAAGTTATGTCGAGGGTGGAAGGCATAACCATCTCAACCGACGTAGCTGTTGTCGGACCGATGGTCCTGTATCCTTTTGAGGGGTCACACAGTTAAGAGAGGTGTCGAGGGGGGAAGGCACTCTCTGTCCGTCAGAATCAGTTAGATCGGTACTGGGGTAGTTTGTGTTGCCCTGTAACCCTAACAGAGGGGTATGGGATCTGATGATTTCTGGTACGAGGACTGAAAGCTTGATCAGCGTGTCCTTCATTGGTGGTGAGGGTAAGAGTTGGATTCTTGCCCTTCCTCCTCTTGTTTTTTCAAATGGAGGGTGAACATCGAAAGCATGGTTTGGAAGAAATTTTGGGTGGGTTCACGCAGTAGGGGAAGGGTGGCTCAGGGTGGCAAGTCTATTAGAAGGACGGGGTGGGGCGACAGTGGCCGGTGCTGGAGAAGTGGCTCTGTGACCATGAGGAGGAGCTTGAGGCCATTGGAGTTTGCCGAGGGTGGAAGGCATAACCACCTCTTTCAACGTAGCTGATGCTGGGGAAGTGTAACCCGGTAGGGGGTTTGGCAGCTAAGGAAGTCGTCGAGGGAGGAAGACGCTTCCTGTCCGTCAGAAAACAGTTAGTTCGGTGTTGGGGCAGTTTGTGATGCCTTGTAACCCTAGCAAGGGGGGTGTGAGAACTGGCGACTTCTGGTACGAGGACTGAAAGCTTGGGTGACGGTTTCTCATCTTTTGCGAATGTCGAGCTCAGTGCAGCTGGGCCCATTCATTCATACCCCATACTCGGCGACGACGGGGGCAGCTTCCTCTGCATTTTTTTTTTTTTTAGGTACTCCATGTGGAAGAACTGTAAGCACGCTACACAGCTGGACTGAAATATTTTATTGGCCCGTAGAGAAAATAAGGCCGCACAACGCCACCCGCTGTTGCAATGTGCCATGTAGTTCTGAAGACAGGAACAGGACCGCCGCTAGTGGGACTTGGCCCTGGCAGTCCAGTTGCTTATCACCGGCAAACAGAAATCGAATTTGTAGAATTACTAGAATATCCAGCGGCCTAGCTCAGTCGGTAAGGCACACAAGTCGCATTCAGGAGGTGTTGGATTCAATCCCTAGTGGCCTCATGTACCTTCCTGGGCAAGCTTGGTGCCCGACACCTAGAGATATGCCGTTGGTCCCCTCAAGTGGCATTGAGCAGAGACTGCTGATGTTCATAGGGGGAGGAGACCGAAGGGGAGGCTCAGTGACTGGCCCATCGACGAAGCTCAGTCTTGATGCTACTAGCTGACCCCTGGCCGGTATCGCCCACCTGCTGTGGCAGGTATCGCGCCTGCTGGTGGGAGCAGCTCCCGCATATTCCCTCGTTGGAGGCTTTGAGCACGGATGTGGCTGCTACGGGGTTCCCCGTAATACTATAATGACAATAAAAAAGGCCTGAAAGGCCGTCGTGTCCAGATTTGACAGGTAATTGAATTGGTTGGGCTTAATAAAAAAACTAAAAAAAATAAAAAATAGACGAAGAGGGAAAGAGGGAGGGGGAGGGAGGTATCGGGGCTGGCTGCGGCCAGGCCCACATGTGAAAGGGTAAGAGAAAACCGCACGAACTCAGAACTCGTCAACCTTTCTGCAGCGCGTGGTCGGGAGGCAGGGGAGCACCCAGTTACTCAGCCCTACCGAATAGGGAACAATTCCTGCTAGATACCGGGCTCTGGCCCCTCACTCCCCCCCTTTGCACCATCCTGTGTGTTACCCCTGATTTCAGGTTCGTACCCATTCACATCCTTTTCCTAAATTCCTGATTTCGCAATGATTCAATGACCCAATATTAGCTCTACACACGACCCCCTTCTCCTTCCCCCTGCTGCTCCCCCCCCCCCCCCCCCCCCCCCCCCCCCCCCAACTGTACTGCCTTTTGTCAGCCATATTGCTGGTACCATTAACTCCTCAGGGTTGCAAATTTGTGGCACCGGTCAGCGGGGGTGTGCTGCTGCATCGTGCGTAGTCCCGTGTCCATGGCCGCTGAGGGTTTAGAGTCCAGACTGACTCACATAGCATCACTCCACACACATTCAATCGTGAGATGGTGGGGTATGAGCCATACATAGAAGATGCTTAGCCCCGTACACACATACACAGATGAATGGGGGAGGAGAGACGAAGAGGTGGGGGGAGGTAGACAGCACCGAAAGTCACCGAGGTAGAATCTGATAGGTCACCGATATGGTAGTCCAAAATGTAACCGGTGTCTGAACTGTGATGTCGCCAAGTATCAACCCCAACGATCTCCAAGTCTCCAATCTGGTAAGTACCACAGTCTCATATCACCGAAGTCCAACTCTGATC